TTCCCGATACATTTCGTTGGTAGCCCTCTCTTCACTAGCGCACCATTCTGAGCTATCCATACATTTCTCATTTGCCGATGTATTGCTCAATCACGGCAGCAATTGTGGAGCTTTTTAGTGGAAGTCCTCCTTCCGTTTGTTGATTCTTAAGCTCAAAGTCGTCTCTGCTGCCTGCGTATCTCGTATGTTCGCATTCAAGCCCGTTCTCTGTAATGTCCGGATGAAAATGATCTCCACCTAGGCATAAACAGGGAGCATATAGGCGAAACGAAACTATGGTGTTAGAAGAGCTGTGCGGAGATATCGGAGGCAGTGCTATTACGCGCTATCTTGAATAACGCTAAACGTATCCAGTTAGATATACATGTACACGGTTATAGTTGCTCGGCCTACTACTGGATCCCCCACTCCGTTCCAGTTTACTAGCACGGTTCCTAGGAACTTGTTGACTCCCCTCCACCAACCTAACATACAGAATGTACGGCTATTGCTGTGCTTAAAATCTGCCCTGCGGGGAATGAAGGATCATTTAGACCTCTAACCTAAACTTTTCCTCACTAGCAAGGCAAAAAGCAGATAATAATCCCTCACTGTGTTGTTTGAGGGTGGTCAGATTCATTGAATTGCAGCGCTGCAGCGCCTTTTGCCCAGCATTACGGACGATCCAAGTGAACGTTCTCCAGCCTTGACAAAGTTGATGGCGGGCCTTTAAATTAGGCTTACCACTAAGTACCCCCAGCTAATTCTGAACATCTAAACACCTCCAGAAAAGACCTCTATAAAGTACCTTGTTGTTCGAACATGGAATGAGACGTATAAGAAGATGAAAATCCTACAGAGACAATTACTTGTTGTTAGGTCTATTGTTCGGGAATTATAAGATATATTCGTGAAACAATGGCCCTCTCTGCTGCTAGCACTGATGCAGTTAGCCATGCTTTCTCCCATAAAAGCCTTCCTCTCCCAAGTTTGAACCACGCCTGTAAACTTCACGGGACACCAACCACTAGACCCTTTCAGTCTTTTGGCTATTCGGGCGCCTCAAAAGCCACACCTGTGATCCGAGTATCATCTCCAGTAATAGCTAAAGTCCCAACTAGAGCGGTAGCTTCGAGAACTAGTTCTGTGAATCTTACTAACACCGCATTTCTTACCGCCTTGAGCTATCTACGAACGTCTCAAAGAACCATCTATTCTAACCATTGCTACACTGGCACAAATGGAGACGGATGAGATATTTTGGCCCGCACGGGGCACCTGCGGTCTGAACACTGGCGATGTAGGCCTCGTTGACGGAGGGCTACAGCGCCGTGAGGGCTGCAGGCGGGCCCGTGGCACTCCGTATATTCTAGGAGGAAAAATAGCTATGCGGGAGCATACGTGGAATATACATGAGGGGGTTCCGCGGTGGGCGGGAAGAAACCGTCGCGGAGAGAGCCCGGCTCTCCCTCGAAACGGCGATATTCTTTTCGAGGGAGGGGAAGGCCAGGCGATATTTGTGTGCGATGTCCAGCACGGGATATCGTGGGCCCGACGCAAGGGGCTCTCACGCAACAGTCCCGAATAGAACCTATCATCTATTATCTGCAGATATTGGGTGTTCTGATAAACTTGTAGATACTGTGGGCGGGGGACAGGCGGGGTCTCGGATGATCTTTTGCCGAGAAGGAAGAGCTGTCGGCGATTGAAATAAAGTTACGAACAAGCGTTTAGGTGGTTCGGTAACCGTTCGCTCCGGTCGACCTTTCTGTTCTTCATAGGCATTCCAATCTCTTGCACATTCATACCAACTTCCCATAACACACCTAATTTTCCAGTTATTTAACTGCACAACATGGCATTGAACGAGATTTCTTCTCCCTGTCACCAAGGCTTGACGCCTCCAGATAGCCCAATGGAGGGGACAGCTACGTCTCAGACGATCGTGGAGGATCTGCAGCATCTCTTTGGTGTGTTTCTTGAGACGGCGCTGCTCGAACTTACAAGCGGAGAACCTCCAAACACTCCTGTCTCCCAGGACCAGTCTCCATACGGCCCCGACATGGTTCGACTGAAGAAGTTGCTGGTGAAGCTCACCCGCGATGAATGTGCTTCAGCTGAACTGTCCGTGGCAGCTAAGCCTACTCAGGCTTGTCTAGCAAGCAGTGAAAAGAAGGAGGGTGTCCGGGTCGCAAATGAAACTGATCTCGACAGTCCGATCTGTACTACCCCGGATGATTTCAAATCGTTCGAAAAGTGGGCCTCGACACCCCATTTCAAGACTGTTCTGGAAACGTACGAGCCACCAACTCCCCTTCCCATTCCTTTTTAGAAACTGGCTGACAAGGGTATAGTTGGGACAAAGAAGCATGCAAATACAAGATAGCAGAGCCGGTGGAGACCAGCAGTGGCTTGGACGACTATGCTGAATATGCATTCGTTGTCCGTGAACGTGTCGGTACATCAGACCTTCGCGTGACAGACCGAAACAATACTAATAGTATGGTTAGAACGGAATTCCGAGGAGGTGACGCACTACATAGACATCAAATTGGAAGGCCTACGCGACATCCTGCGTGTGGTACTGCACCACATCAAAGCTATTAGCTTGATGGAGGACAAGCCATCGGTAATTGAGAGCGAGTAGCATCTCGAAGAGAACGCTGACGTGGATTTAGATCGAGCAAAACGTCCTTTTCCATTTCCTCCCAGAGCTCGACAGATGTGTGGAGAACGTGGACAACAGCTCGGACCATGACTCGGCACATGCGGAGCATCTCCGCCTGCTCATCGACCACCTCAAGCAAGCATATGCTTCTATCTCGCAGCGTCTCGAATCAATGTTGCGGCACGGTCATATTACTTATGACCTTCTTTGGGCGCTTTTCAAGCCTGGTTGCCATGCTTATACCACATGCATTGGCACAAAAGAGCCACGATGTGTCAGATTCGACGCGGGGGGAGAGATGACACAAAATGACGAGACGTGGTGGAATCTCGAGTGCTGATTCATCGATTATGACGGAGTCAAGTTTGGCGAGCCGGAATATTTCTGCGTGTGGCAAAGTTCCGGGGATCAAGGCCGATCGAGAGCCTTGAGGCCTTCCCTCTCCGCTACCATCCAAGGCACGAGGAAATCCGGAAAGACTTGGTCGAAAGAGGCCAAAAGTTTCGGGATTTGGTCGGCTCGCACATTCGGCACTGTAACGGCAGTGCGTTCTTTATGAACAAGGGGAAGGCGATCAAAGTCAACGTCTGAGACTTTTTTCAGAGATTGGCGGCTCAAGCATTGGGCTTTCCGTGTCGATGCTAACGGGTGGTATATGCTCCGACGGATGTGGCTCAGACTTGCCAGAAAAGACACGATGGAGGAATGAAGCCCCTTGAGAGCTAAGTGCAAGAGGGCTTCTCGAACGCTGCGGACTGTATTCGAATGCTTCATCCAACAACACCGTTGTGAGTGGGATTTCTGGCGATAAAAATGGAGCATCCTGATGCTCGATGGGAGGACCAATACTCTCGCGGTGATCTGCGCTCGTGGCCTCGTGGTCCACATCCAGACGGCGCGATGAGCTCCGCGAAGTGACAACAGAGGGATCTCTTGCTTGATGCGAGCTGGAGCCCATGCACTGTGTTTCTAGCTTCAAACGCTGGCGTTTGCGTGGGAGGATAGCCTCCGACCTTTCAAAACGGCATTCACTTCCCTGCTCTTCACACCTTGAGCAGCATTCTTCTCGCCTTGTCATACGAGAGGAAAGGTCACACTGCCTCTTCTGTTCACGACAACGGTCGCATGATGCCCGTTTGTTTTTGGGCATGATGAATGGATGCAATTAGCGGTTGACGCCGAAGGAAAAAAAACCCTTAGGGGCACTGGGAACAAAAAGAGACGAGACATGGTGGGAGGAAGCTTTTATAAGGCTGGGGACTGAAAAGGGCTCCACATTGCCGCATGGCCCCCTATTCCACATGGCCTTCTCTTCCGCATAGCTCCTTCTTCCGCTTGGCCCCTCTTCCGCATAGCTCCTTCTTCCGCATATCCTTCTCTTCCGCATATCCCCGTCTTCCGCCTCGCCCCCTCTTCCGCCTCGCCTCCTCAGAATAGAGGCGATTGATCTTACTATTTGGAATCTCTAAAAGAGAGGCGAGTGTATATTTGTATATTTGCCGAAAGTTAGAAGGTGTCTCTTGTTATGGATCGCTTATTATAGGTGCCGGAACGAGTTCGTTTCAATGACTCCAGCACTCGCCTTTTTCCTCAGATGAAGCGATGAGCTTCCTTGGTTAGTATTGCTCGGATTTTGCATAGTCAAAGGTCCAGTACCTACTCTCACAGAGATCCTCCGCTATTTATTGAAGAGAACATCCCTCCTCCGGAGTACCCATTTCCCCGGCATAGTTCGTCAGAAGCTAAGGAAGCCGGTCTAGATTTCGTGGGAACATACAGCCATTGTGAAGTTGTGATTAAGCTATCACAGCAGATGCAGGCAGGACAAACGGAAGATAAAACGCGGCTTGGGTCACTAATGACGTGTATTCAGGAAAAGGCGCCTAGTTTGGAATTGGAGAATAGAAAATGCTCTGTGGACTATATAAGGGGACGCGGCGGAAGAACATTTGCATAGGCCTAATTGATTATTGAGGGCAGAAAACACAAAAAAGGTGTGGATGGGCTTCTTAGTGGCTGACCTACCAATACCAGGCACCCTCATATTATCCCAGCTGTTCAAGGAATATCCACGCAATTTTGGAGTGCCACCACCGGCCAGCATGTGAGCGGACTGGCCGCTTCCAATCAATCGGCCTGTCGGCTGTACTGCTGAGACTTATGCCACAAGAACACTCCCACAAGTAATTGCTTCCATTCCCCCCCCATCTTTTTTTCCCCCCGTCTAAAAGAGTCAGTAAGAATAATAGAATGTAGGTTTGAAGGATTCAGTCCCGGACATAAATAATTATCGGCCCCAGCCAGTCGTCACCATCACCACACTTGCTTGACTTCAAGCCGCGCAAAGTCCAAGATGCGTTCCTTCAATTACCTTTTCTTCATCGGAAATGTTGTGACAGGCAGTTATTTGGCTATCATTCAGGACACTGGTGGCGAGAACAACTGTAGAGTGTGGTCTCAGAATAACCACGGCTGTACCGGCTACTCAGCAACCTTTGCTAAGCTGAAAGGCAAAGATTGTTCGAGTGAGTACACAATCTGAACCAAACGCGCTGTTGTTAACACCCTTAGGTTTCACTGGTGCCGGTTCCGACGATAAGTCGGTGAAAATTGATATATGTGGCACTGAAAATGGAGAGCAGGTCGCCTGGGTGACAGTGAACAAAAACGGCACCGTGGCTTTCCACAACCGAGAGGGAGATACTTCTAGTTGTACGCTAGAAAACGGTCTTAAGGTGCCCAGTGGATGTAGCATCGGTAAAACAGTTTCCTCTCAGACGACCACGCCGATCTTTACGGGCAGTCAGACCTCGTTCTCAACTACAATCGACATGTCCGCTTCTGAAACAGCCCGTGCTGATCTATCCCCTACTCCGATATTCACCTCGACGCCTACAAACAGTCAATCTTTGGCTTCAACTTCAGCCAGTAACTCGGCTACTGAGACGCCCCTTGCAGATCAATCACCAACTCCGATATTCACCTCGACGCCTACAAACAGTCAATCTTTGGCTTCAACTTCAGCCAGTAACTCGGCTACTGAGACGCCTCTTGCAGATCAATCTCCAACTCTCACGCCTACCCCGGCATGCACATGCACTTGCAAAGCTGCCGTCGTCTGATGAGGTAGAACTGCACTCTGAGCAAGTTCTCATTAGCTACTACAGAAAATCGATGGATCAAGCAGATTCTGGTGCACTTGGGCGGAAATATGAGCTGAAAGCGGTCTTTAGAGTCACAGCATTGGACTCTCCTTGGTTACAAAGCCAAATGGATAATTGACATTCAAATTCCTTTATGTCATGGCTCGCGGCAACTTCTTGCACTAGCTTACAAGCTTTGGACAAGCTTCCTAGCATTGATTCCACCCGCGGGAGGAAAAATGGATATATTGCTACCATTTCATCGGTTTCTTGATCCAAAACGCAGACCCGGATGTCAGCCCAGTCCAGCATTTTCGGAAGTCGGGAAGCTGGCAAGGAGAGGAAGATATCCTCAGTACATGTGGACGATGACAATGGGTCCGGCCATCTCCATTCTTGAGCAGATACGCTGTTATAACCGGGGGGAGAATAGCAGTCAATAACTGTTTCAGAATGGGTGTCAACTGTGCCTCTGGTTGACAATGAGAAGTGGAATAAATTGTTAAGCTCAGCGCTTCCATGCCCAGTGACAAGGAGTGGTGAGGGGACTAAGCATTTGTGCACGATTCGTAGGTAATCCTTCAGTGTCCAGGTCTGTACAATATGACGACCTGCTAGACTACAGTGGGCTGTGGGGAGCCCGTCATAAACTGCAGACTTCTATGCCTACCCTTTCTTGGTTGTTCCAATAGTGGCTTCAATGCCTTGACTGATAAAAGAGCAAGTACGTATGCAGCGTTAATTTGTTATTGGCCACTACTCATCCGCTTTTATACATCACTCATTTTCGTTTGCCCATCCTCAAGGGGAAACCGCCATTTCGTCTTAACAATAATTAGATCCAGCGTTCAATTCTGAATTCAAGTAATCGCGCACGGCTTACGTTCTAACCACTACTGTTCTAAATCCTCGCTTAGAACATGACTTGTACCTTCAACGTTCACGAGAGTGCCAAAATGGATTGGACATGCGTCGCAATTTCTTTCACCGCCCATGAAGATAGTACAGTAGCTCACGTATGTGGATATAGGTACCCTTTCCTAATGTGAGAAATAGCTCCTTGCATCATTCTAAAGAACGACACCATTTGTTCTAAGAGTCGTGACCCACTTACTGGAACTAGAAACTGCATTGAGTCTCAGGAGGATCGCTGCTTACATATACAATCGACCTATTCCGTCGTGTTGGGGATACGCCTGATTTGAATAAATAGTGTTCAGCAATATGTCTGAGCGGCTTCAAATTAGAGAATGAATGCTACTAAGCTTTCTATCTCCCTAAGATTGTAACTCCAATGTTCCACGCCGTCGGCGAGTTGGATGCAACGATTTCTACTGCACAGACACGGAACCTCGCACGACATTGCTCAAACCCATGGCCCTATGAATTCTTCGGCGATCACTATGTACCCCAGAACAAAGATTTTGGGAGCTTCAGTCGATCCCTTCAGAGCTTTTTAAAGGAAGTGTTTGGTCTATGTAAAGAGGTCCAGGAGGTCTGGGAGGATATTGACATCGTTTGCCCAAAACTAAAACGTGCGGGCCATTTTCGGGCATGCACATTTAGCAATACGGTAAGTAGTTCATGTCGACGGAATACAGGCTTGGGAGATATATAGACTGAGAAGGCAGTCAATGATTAGCAATGTGAGGTATATTCTGGTTTTATCTTGACCTACCCGGTGTGGCATTGTTTGGTGAGATTGCGGGCTGGGAGTCTTCTTGATTTTGCGAGGATGGTGCAGAAGCCTGATGTCGCGTAATCTATATCGACGCACTTGCTGCATTAGCTGATGAGACCAAGGATCCGCAGATTTTAGCCTGAAGGTCGGAGAGCGAGGAGGGAAGCCCTCCGGAAGCATCTGACGTTGGTACCGAGCCCTGGTACGGGACCGTGAAGTCGATTTGTCTGCGATCGGTCGCCGTCTTCGAATCCCTTTCCGAAGCTGATTGCGCTTTCCTCGCAGGGACTCGAATGACCTGTACTTATCGTGTTGCTTGGAATATTCCTTAGCCCTTTGTTCCCATGACATCCATTCATATTCAAATAACCATGGTTCGAGGTTTTCTTCCTCAGTCTCAGTCCAAGGAACATAGTCACCTGTCGGCATCGTGGTGGATGGGGTACGTAAAAGAGTAAAAGAACGGACGGCAACCAGGAAATCACGCTGAGAGCAAACTCTGGAAGAGATGGTTGAGAAACTACAAACAGCGAGAATATAACTTATGTCTACTGTACTCAACTCACCATATCTACTTAGAACAAGTCTCCATTTGGGAGGCAAGTGGTCATAGCGGAACTCACAGCTCGCAAAAAATGAGTTTAATAATTAAATACCCATTGTAGTGGTGGAACCGGTGACATAGTAGAAAGATGGACGGACTATTAGTCACGTGGCCAGTCAGATAGCATTCCTCCATGTTGGGATTCCAGCAGAGGACTGGGCTAGCATCGTACAATTCACTCTTTTCGTTTCCAGCCCTTTTATTATGAAGAAGTCTCAGGGTATACGCTCCGCTGTCTACTAGTGCTGTCTAGGGAGTGTTGGTTGCTTGATCCTTCATCCATGATATCGACCTGTCTGCTATGCCAGACTGCCATTGAGCCATCCCCATTTCACCATCTAATATAGCAATGCACATCGTACCATTGTTTCGACGTAGGTTAAAAAATGAAAATAAATTAAAAGACTAAAAATAAAAATAAACAAGATTTCTTTTTAATTCGGCTAAAGTAGCAGTATGGATCATAGTATAGTAGAAAATGGGCAATTGGCTAGATGCCCACTTGGACCTCGAATTACTCAAGTTGAGTCGATTAATGAGGTTGACAGGTATGTGAAAATCAATCATTGGGGAGTTCTACGGCTACACAGATTCACGATGGCCTACTAGTCTTGACCGGCTCCATTTTCATCCCCATAATGGAAAATCGCAGCTAGACCTCGCCATTAGACCTGGCTACGACCCTCCGCATGGGTCCCTACCCCGGACCCTCGAACCTCCCCTCAAGAGGGGAGGTTCCAACCTTCCGACCCTCAACCTACCCTGAGGGTCGTTGAAGTTCACTATGCTGACCCTCGGCGACCCTCAACGACCCGCATTTGCATAAATTTTCGACGCCTTACCTCTTTCGGTTGGATAAAATTGATGATTCATCTCTGTTTTTTACAGCTGTTCCGTCAATTTGTAGATATTTCACTAAATACTCCAACAATATGGTCAATTATAAATAAATATTCATGTAAAAGTAAACCGTAGGCATGGTCACCTACAAACTGCAAGTAATACTCGATGATATCGAAATAGTAGGTGGTCAGTGGCGGTTGTCGACAAAAATGCATGTCAAGTTGTAGATATATATATTGCAGACAGTGTAACCTATGTGTATCTTCATTTGTAGATGATAGGTTCTATTCGGGACTGTTGCGTGAGAGCCCCTTGCGTCGGGCCCACGATATCCCGTGCTGGACATCGCACACAAATATCGCCTGGCCTTCCCCTCCCTCGAAAAGAACATCGCCGTTTCGAGGGAGAGCCGGGCTCTCTCCGCGACGGTTTCTTCCCGCCCACCGCGGAACCCCCTCATGTATATACCACGTATGCTCTCGCATAGCTATTTTTCCTCCTAGAATATACGGAGTGCCACGGGCCCGCCTGCAGCCCTCACGGCGCTGTAGCCCTCCGTCAACGAGGCCTACATCGCCAGTGTTCAGACCGCAGGTGCCCCGTGCGGGCCAAAATATCTCATCCGTCTCCATTTGTGCCAGTGTAGCAATGGTTAGAATAGATGATGTAAAAATGAGGGGATTAAAACTACTTTTTAATGGTTTTTTAAAAAAACAGTGGTTCTATTCTAACCATTGCTACACTGGCACAAATGGAGACGGATGAGATATTTTGGCTCGCACGGGGCACCTGCGGTCTGAACACTGGCGATGTAGGCCTCGTTGACGGAGGGCTACAGCGCCGTGAGGGCTGCAGGCGGGCCCAAATGACCCGGTGGGCCAAAAGAGGATGGTGGAGGGGCTGGTGGTATGGAAGATGAGACCGGCGTTGGATGACCGGTCGGGAATTGACGGTTCCAGGCGTACAGTGTTGTCGTAGGTGTTGTGAAGTAAAGGCGGAAGGCTTCGGATGACCATCTCCCGAGGGCTTGGATGTGGTCATTTCTTAAGCCTGCGTTGTGGGCGTGCTGTGCTGCCCCTTTTCTGAAACTGTGACCCTTAAGTCCCGTGGTATCTTCCCCGGCGCGGTTGAGCTTAGAGATAACCGCACGTTGGAAGGCGGATGAGGTGAAGGGGCCAGAGGAGAGCGTAAACAAGGGGGCAGACATAGGCTGTGAGTCGTGGAGGAATAGCTTAGAAAGGCCTTCGACGGGGCAGGCTGCGTCGTTTGTTGCTGCAAGGACAACATTGACACCTTCGTGGTTTCGGTCGGTCTTGCTTCTCTTCAAGGTAAGGAGGACGTGGTCCATGGTGGGGGAGAACCTGATATCCGCCCGGGTTAACTTAGTAGCAGCGAAGATTTGAGTGTTTCTAAGGTCGGCAGATGAGTATGTAAATTCCCCGACCCGAAGGAATCCAGCGAAGGCAACGCGGGCGGCCACGGCAAGATTAAGGTCATTTTTCTGGGCCGCTGAGAGCCCCAGCGGTTGGGCAGGGATATGTGAGATATTCCCTGAAAGGGTTATGACTGAGGCGCGTGAGATTGGGTTGCGAATCCGCTTTTGGCGGGGCGGTTGCAGCCGACGAGCGCCATCGATCATGCGACGAAAATGCTTTGCGTGGAGGTCAAAAATTGTGTCAGGTAGACCGTTATCGATGTGATACGCGCGGAGAGCCGAGAGCTCAGACATAGCTGAATCGGGCTTCACAGGTGGGGAACTACCCGCGCCCAGCAGGCGTTCCGTAAGCCAAGTGCAGATCGACGGGGCAGTGGCTGGCCAGGGCTGCACTCCGATAATAGCGCAGCTACGGGTGTACGAGCGCTGCGCAGAGCGATAGCCTCTTCTGGTTCCCTCTGCAAGGCCATTCCAGACCAACTTTGCATGGCCAGCATTCACGAAAATAGGCTGTCGAGAGAACCAGGCTGGCGGAGCAAGGGAAAGGAGCTCGTCAACTGTGGGCAAATATCAGCGATGATCCTATAATCGGAACGGGACAGTGCATCAGCTAGTAGGTTCTCCGATGAAGGAAGCCAGTGTGGCTGGACTTCGATGTCAAGGGCGGCTGCTATGCTGAAAAGCATGAGCAGAGAGCGATAAGCCGGCCCACGGAGTGCCTGCTTAGACAGGCCATGAAACGCGACGGCGCTGTCCGTGAAAGCGAGGACACGATGATGAGCCCAATGGGGGCTGTGTATGAGGAAGGCCTGCAGGATCGCAGAGACCTCCTTAATGTTAATGTGGGCCACGTCGCCGCAGGCGGAGGAGGCGTCCACAATAGCCGCATGGGTGGAAGGCAGGTGAGGCGCTGCAGACATCCAGTCCCTGGCGGAGTCCCATGAGGGCGCATAGAAGAAGAAGAGGCCCAGACCTGAGTCGCACGCGTCTGTGTAGAGGGCAACTAGGGGGCGGCTCTTCTCGAAGAAATGGATGCCGTTAAATAACGGGAGAGTGTCCCTCCACCACGCGAGATCCCCGCGGCTATCATGGGATAGGCGGCGGACGGAGCGCTGGTGAGGCGGGAAGGATGCGAGATCGCTGTAGAGCGACTGAAGGCGGGCTCTGCCGAGACGGATAACTATTGAGCAGTGTTGGAGGAAACCGACTACACGTTGCAAAGCTTTATGCGAGACACGATCTAGCTGTAGTAGCGACGCGGCTTCGGAAGATGCGCGTGCTAGCTTATCGCGAGGCATACGGGCCTGCAGAAGTGTCGTGTCGATTTTGACCCCAAGGACACTGACCACGGTACCCGCGGCGTCTTTCGAGTCATTCCGTGGGATGCCTAACGCATCCGTGAGAGGAATATATGCGCTATTGAAAGCGGTAAGGGCTTTAGAGAGACCTCCCACGGAGGAAGGAAAAATAACGATGAAATCGCCAAGGTAATGAGCGATAGAGGCCAACGGCAAGTAAGCGGTTAGGAGCCAGTTAAGGCCCTCAGCAAAAAGGTTAAAGATGAAGGGTGCCGTTGAAAGGCCGAATGGGAGGCAGCACTCCATGTATGTCTTGCTATCCCATGAGAAGGCTAGGAGGGGCCGGTCAGCGGGGGCGACTGGGATATTACGGAAGGCATCCTTGATGTCGCGTTTGATGATATAGCATCCTCGTCCAGACGTGCGTATGAGATCGAAGATGTTATCCATAGATATGTATTGTATAGTAGAAGCAGCGTCGGGGATGGACTCGTTGACACTGCGACCCGGCGGGTAGGAAAGATCATGGATACGGCGCCAGCTCCCGTCGTGTTTAGGCACCAGCCCTAGTGGGGAAACAACGACGGGGCCAGTAGATGGTTGCACCCGACGACATAATAGGTCATCAGAGAGCTTCTGGGTGATAAGAGAGTGTTCCTCGATGCGGTGATTAGGAGTTCGACGGTATCTTGGCTGGATCGTACAACCGAGGCGGCAGCCGAATGTAAGGATGCCGCTGCAGATAGTCCCTAGGTTGCCAGGATAGCGTTCGAGGAGGGTTTTCCACGCCGAAGCAATGAAGGGAGAAGCGGAATCACGCAGAGGCGGGAGGGAAGGGTCGAAGACCTCAAACTGAATAGAAGTGTTGGGACGCGGGGCTGGCCAGCTAGTTGGTGGCGACAAGGTTTGACCTATACCAGGGCCGACCCCGGCGTGCTCCTAACTCACTGGTTTTACTTTGCAGCTTGTCACGGAATGGTCGTTGCCGCACTTAGAGCAGACGTGTCTTCGGTGGCATGTTCGCCAGTGGCAGCCAGCAGAAGAGTTGAATTTTTCACAAATGACAGTGTCATTATTTGGGGCAGCGGTAGAGCGCGTTGACCGTGTGGTTGGGGTAGCCGGCGCTGTCTTTGCTGGGAGCACGTTGTCCGGGCGAAGGTAGGAGCTTTCGAGGGCTTTCCCAATTTCCCAATCGCTAAGAGAAACGGTGAGGTCGCCTTTATCGACGACCATCTGGTGGTGGTCCAGGGCCATTTGCAGGATACAGTCCTGCCATTTATATGCCCTAGCAAGGTCACAAATGCGGCGGTGGAAGAGAACCATTCCACTGATGCATAACGGGTGCTTAGCAGCGAAGAAACCACACCAGACAGCGACGTAATTGCTAAAGCAATGGGCCCAGAGGGATGCGTCATTTCCCCAGTCCTTAATTGAGACTACCTTGCGGAATTGCAGGCCAGATGATGTGGATTTTAAGTCGAAAGACTCGCCATCCGGTGCCGAGGCTTTGAACTCAGGGCTACGGAGTTTTATGAGGTCCTTCTTTGGTCGGAAGGTGTGCTCGAAAACGGCTATAATAGCAGCACGGTCGAGGCCGGGGAAACGGGGAAGGACTGGCAAAACAAGAGACGGGACCCTACCGTCGTCAGCATCCTCTTCCGCAGTGAGGTCTAAACGTGGGCGCTTGCGCTGCCCGTCGCCCGCAACAAGGGACGCGGACACAGTAGAGATGAATGAGTCCTGCTGGGAGTCGGAGAGGGAATTCCATATGTACTCTGGTGGATAGATCGAGGAGCCCAGGGTGGTCTGTCCCCCAGGGGTTAGACTGGGGGCCACCGAACTATGACGCACCATTGTAAAAGGAACTATTGAAGAAACCGTCGCGGAGAGAGCCCGGCTCTCCCTCGAAACGGCGATGTTCTTTTCGAGGGAGGGGAAGGCCAGGCGATATTTGTGTGCGATGTCCAGCACGGGATATCGTGGGCCCGACGCAAGGGGCTCTCACGCAACAGTCCCGAATAGAACCTATCATTTAAACTGTTATATCTTCTTCTATCACTTTTTCTTCAAGAATTCAGCACAAATGATCTAGGTATGTCATAAATCCGGTTCAAAGATTGCAATTATTAGACTTGGTCGTTCTGATCAAGACTATTTTCTCAACTTGAGGGTCTCTTTGAGGGTCGATGCGGGTAGTGAGGGTCCCCTTGAGGGTCGCTGCGGGTAAGCGAGGGTCTATTTGAGGTTCGTTGAGGTTCATTTATTAGGTTATCCACTACGTTAGCCAATCAGATCTAGCTATGTGGATAGAAAAGATGATAGATCAATTCAAGCATATAGAACAGGGACTAACGGATGCCCCAAGAATATCGCGCATCTTTTTCTACAAATTGAACAGTAAGTTCCTCATTATCTTCCTCCTCAGTCATAGTACTGTCTTCTGGTTACTAAATCTATCATGTCTCAGCTCTCCGACGTCTACGCATCATCTAGCTTCGACGGGGTGCAATTAGACGCGCTACAATACCTTGTTCCTAACGATTCCCTATCCCAACGCGAAAGCCAGAGTCAACTACCCGAAAGTCATTTTGGATCAGTTCCAGACCTTCCAGACCTTCCAACCTATCGATCGCGCGTGGCACCTCAGGCCCCAGACACTCTTACGCGAATCAAACCAGACCGTATCAACGAGTACGTCGTCTTCACAACTACAATGACCGCAGAATTTATTCAGTGGTGGCTTGAAACCGACTTTGGTAAGAAGAAGCGGATCAACTGGGATGTGAACCGTCGTGCAGAGTGCTGGAAAGGGTTTCAAGTTGCAAATGCCAAAGATGGGAAGCCAGGCGTTATATGCAAACGGTGCCGTACAATTCTTGAGCATCCAACTACCAACCATACTGGAACCTCATCGATGCAGAAACATCTCGATGGGCTAAGGTGCCGACAGCGAATACCGAAGAAGGGTAATATCCAGCAACTACTTAGTGACGCGGTATATTTAAACCAGCCTACATTCAATATCAATACTAATACTATTTCACAATTTAGGCCGAGAGAAGACCAGCGCCTACCTTTACCCAGCAAATATGGGAGCAGAAGATCCTAAACCTGATTACTGTATCGCATTTACCCTTCCTATTCGTCGAACATCAAGAATTCCATGACCTCCTTTCCTACGCACGGCTAGCACCTACACCACCAAGTGTTCCATCAAGAAAGGTGATTCGCGAGCGCCTTCGGGATTTTGTTATAGAACATCAACAGGAGACACTACAACGGCTTCCATCTAGTGCAAGAATGTCGATTGCGCTTGACTGTTGGACTTCTCCATTCCAGCAAGCATTCAGGGCTATCACAGGATACTTCCTAGACCAGGAATGGGAGTATCGCGAGGTTCTCCTTGGGTTTGAGCCAATATCTGGATCTCATACCGGAGTGAACCTCGGTAGGGTTGTTCTCCAGACCCTAGAGAAGCACCAGATCGCTGACCGTATACTGGCGGTGACAACTGATAACGCGTCTAATAATAAGACACTTATCACAGCGGTGAATGATTCGGCTAAGACGCTACAGCAAGAGACAGATTCTACGATTGTCCAAGTGCCCTGCCTTGCGCATGTTATTCAATTAAGTCTAATTGATTTACTCGGTAAAATTAAGGCCTCCCCGAAGAATGACAACGCCGAGACGGAATGGTCTGAAGATCGTGTACGTTCACTTCGTGCGCGCCAGCAGAAACATGAGATCGCCGATACTCTAAATAAGGTAAGCTTAAAGCTTCTATTTACGAATCATGATCTAATAACGCTAATAATCCTTATAGGTTCGCGGTCTCGCAGTTTATATCAACGGAAGCCCTCAACGCAAAGAAGCCTTCTTGAATCTTCAATCTAATAACGCTGGGATAAGGCTTCTCCCAATCCAGGATGTCCGTACACGATGGAATTCGACATTTCTGATGCTCCGACGGGCGAAAAGACTTCATGACACATTCGACAAGTACTGCAAGGACTATACCCAAACCCATTTTGCATTGAGTATCGAGGGGTGGCGACAGATTGACTATCTACTTTGCATTCTCCAGCCCTTTTTTACGCTTACTACGCTAGTTTGTCGTACTAAAGACTCGAGTATCCACCTTGTCTTTAGGATTTATAACAAGCTTTTTGATCATCTTGAAAGATCAATACGTCAGCTGCGTCGAAAGAAAGTTCACTGGAAACAGCTAATGCTTTCCTCCCTTGAGGCTGCGAAGGAGAAACTGAAGAAATACTACGGCGAGACAGATGATATCGAAGGTAACCTCTATGCAATTGGGACGATCCTAGCGCCGTCGAGTAAGATGGAGTTCTTTTCAACAAGTGATTGGGACCTAGATCCTGAGATAGGAAAGGACCATAGAAAGGAATACCGCGAGAGTCTTCAGTCTCTTTTCGAGAGATATAGCCAACGTGTACCATCAGATATGATACAGCCTACTAGCCAGTTATTAATAACTGAATCGGAGCTAGAGAGGGCCCTTGACAACGATTCTTCACCACGATCAATTGCTCCGCAGTACGACGAGCTCACCAAATATCTCCAGAGTGGTAAGTAAGTAAGCCTATTTTATGAGTCATATAACTAACCTCACCTGATTAGATACTATTAAAGGATCCGTTCGGATCTTCTGGAAAGATCATCAGTGAGAATTCCCTGTTCTTGCAAGCATTGCCCGTGATATCATGTCAATTCCAGCTACTGGTGCCGGAGTTGAGCGTCTGTTTAACTCTGCTCGGGATTTGTGCCACTACCGCCGGGGGTCGTTGAACCCAGAGACTATTCGTGATATTATGTTGTACATGTGTACAACAAGATTTGATATTAAGGAGGAGCAGCGGCTGATTCTCCAAGAGTATCTCTTAGACCATGAGATAGCTGCTTCGGCAGAAGCACTTGATGTCCAGACACATACCTTCGAGGCTATCAGTGATGACGAGGAGGAGGATGTTGAGTTGCGTCTTGATACACCAGCTGCTATATCAATTATGCAAACAACCCCGAACGCACCGCCACTCTCAGCAGTCGCCGCTGGAAAGCGGCCTGCGGTCACTTCTAGTGATGAGGAAGATTCTGATGCCGATAGATTTGCGAACCCGGAGGAGAACCTATCATTATCCTTCCCTGATACGCAGCATCGTGTATCAGGTAGGATACGGAAGAAGTCGAGACTACTGGATGGGTATATAGTTTGACTCTTGGCTTGTTAGAACCATGAATAGACACTGTGCTATAGATGTAATGTAAACCATTCAAAATTTAAACCCCTATTCGAGGATGAACCTATGGTATGCACTAAGGAGTGGACATGTATTATTCCTTCTGTAAGGCCATACAGTGATGAATTTTAGTTTACAATTACAATGAAATACAGCCTGTTTCTACATAATTTATGCAATTGACGTCCAGTCACGTCTTTTACCTGTTTGTCATGTTTGACGACCCTCAGGGTCCCCGCGGGTAACCCTCATGAGGGTCGGCCTCGGTACGACCCTCCCCGCGGGTCCAGGTTTCGGACCCTGACCCTCCGCATGGGGAGGTGAGGGTCAGGGTCGTGGAGGGTACCCGCGGGTCCTAGCAATATGGAGTGCGGATGTCGGGACATAGCGTCCCGTTCTTGGTGTACGCATTCTTGCGCGGAGCTGTGGCTCCGGTGTTGTGACCGCCGAGTGTCCGTGCATAGGATTAAGGGGTATCTTGGAACCTGAGATGACCGAGAAGACACACACATCTATTTTACATGAATCAAAATTGACTTTTGCTTTGGAAGCATAACCACTGTCCACTTAACTGTGTACACAGTACCTAGCTGGTGATACCAACACGAGTCGCCATATTGCTTTTTCGGGTACCCCATGGGTACCCGCTAGCCCGCCAAGAACCCATCAGCGGGAACTGATAGGGTATGGAGGTTAATAGGGATCACGAGTGCAATAACCCAGAATCCAATATAATTGGGCAATCTGTATAGCCGTGTCACAGGACCGCCCCCACCCTCGCGGGTAGGGGGTGTCCCACAGCCATAATGCAATTAACAGCCATAATGCAAATTTTCAATTTCTTCAACTTCTAGCTCATTTTTTAGACGTATAAGGTCTCGGATCCATGAAATAAAGCCCATCAATAGCCTCAGTAGCCAATAATGTATCATCCTCCTCATTTTCAAGTGTTTTCTCCAATTCCTTAGCCGCCAAATCGGCCGCCATTTTCTCTGCGTCTTTCCGCCAAGCACGAAGCTTCGACTCATCTTCTTTCTCACACCTTCGCTGTACTAGCCTATTGCCTGAAATCGATGAAAGGGGACTCTTTGTAGCACCCTTTACCCATCGCTTGCTTTTTGTAGGTTTTTTCCCAGGCGTTTTATGGCTAAGGGCGCGCGCAAGGCTCATCTCAGCAAGTTCCGCATTGTATAGAGACGATTTTCCGGCATCAATTGCGCGCCGTATATGCTTCCGAATTTTACGTAAATCAGGATTCGGGTTATCAAGTAGCGGGAAAACTGTCTTCTCCAATTTTTCAATACGCGCATAAGAATTGGGCGGAGAATTGGTCGCTGAACTTGGGAATTCGCGGGTAGGTGACGGCTCGTCGTATATGCGTAAGGTCTCTTCGTCCGAATATTGCCCTAAATTACCCAAAACTTGTGTCGGATCTAGTGGCCAGATACCAGTAGATTTGAACGAGGTTTGGATAGTTTTGGACCTTAAGGCGTGGCGTCGGACGGCGTCAATGTTGCGGAAAAAGTCGCGTTTTTCGTTACTTCCACCCCACGCCACAACCTCAGTATTCGCCATTTTAAACTTATGTTTTAGGCTTAAAAAAGCCTCAGCATCAAGCGGCTGACATAGATGAGTCGTGTGAGGTATAAAATACCAAGGAATAATCAAGTTTTCCTTACAAAAATCGAAAAATTCGATAGTTATATGTGACGCATGATTATCCATTAGCAAAAGCCTCGGTCGTCCGCGTCGTACGTGGTTTTTTGTGGCTTCATGAAATGAGCATAGCCATCGGTAAGCAGTCTCACTATCCGTCCAGCCACTAGACGTCAAATGGATAATTTTGTACGCCGAAGAAGAGGTTGACATATTACTATACCAGTCTTCCATGTGGACGCTGCCTTTGACTAGAAACCACGGAAACATCACCCAGCCATCAGCGGCAATACATTCAATGCCAGTAATAGTTTCACCTCGATCTCCAGTAGCAATACTAGCAGTTTGACGCGTAGAGACGACGTGTTGGTTAAGTCCTTCGCCATTTTGGAAGCCGGTTTCATCCCAATTATAGATCTCATGAGGTTCAAAACCATGCTCACGGTAGAGATACTCAAGCCTATCGTACCAATGGCTAATAACTCCAGGATCCTCGGCTTGAATTCGTAAAGACTCCTTTGATTTTTGGGTAATAAGCTTGATGTGTGGAGGTAGACGCCGTATAAGCCGATAGCTATACATTGAACTAACAACTCTCTCCGAACCCGCTATTTTCAACAGGCGATTTGCGGCAATTTCAATGTCTTTTGCAGTTGGAGGTGTATAGCAAGAATTTAGCACTTCGATCCAGCTAATTAATGCATTTTCCTGATTCAAATTCAATGCATTATTGGTGGTAGGGCGATCGGAGAGAGATGTCTGTCCGTTTTTGCGACCGCGAAGCTTCGAATAAGACACGCGATAATGGTCCGCAGCCTTACGTAGTGATGAAAATTCTCGCGTAGTATAAGCATGTAATGCCTTAGCTAGCAGATCCTCTTCATCACGAGTTTTTTTAGGCATTTTAGGTGGGTAGGAATACGCGTAAAAGTTGAAAAGGTAGGAAATTTGCATTATGGAGGTTAATTGCATTATGGCTGTGGGACACCCCCTACCCGAAGGGTGGGGGGTCGTCCCGTGACACGGCTACCGCCTCCTTTTCCGCCCGTATTTTATATCCTGTTCGCCCTACCTTAATTAGGTTAGCCACTATGGCGAGGAACAGACTTACAGTGACTGGACATAAGTTTCTACACTGTCTGGCCCCATCCCCTGATTATATAATATACTGCCAGTCAAAAACCTCCATGAATTCATACTATGGAATCTAATACGGTGTATACCGCCTCTGGCTCCCAATAATAGCTTCCATCCGCTGCGGAATCGTCTCAAGGAAATGCTCCCATCCTAGGTTTGCGTCGCTTACTATTTTTAGCATGGTTCTATACTACGCGCTTTAGGTAGGCGGTATAAATCAATAGAGACGGTGAGCTGGCCGGGGTGTAGAAACTTATGTCCAGTCACTCTAGTTCTAGGTCGGAATAACGTAATCCACGGGCGAGTGAAACACACGGGCGTGTGAAATACCCCAAAACTCCATACTAAATGCGATAAATAACAACTTCATATCTCCAAAAATATAGCTCTTTCGGATAGCATATAAAGCTCGTATAACCTAAATAGCATTTGTGACCTAGTGGTGCAGCATAGAAAGTTTAAGAAATAGGAGATATATATATATTGATGTCTCAATATCAAAACTACGCTGTATTTTATGGTAAAGTGTCGAAATAATGGTCTGACTAGCTCAAAATCTAGATATATTATTGCTCTTTCTTGGAAAACTGTTGTTTCAAATTTTAACAAGAATAAACCGCTAGTGGTTGAGATATAGAGGAATCAAAATATGGCATTCAATATGGTATTTTGCGGTGTTTCACTCGCCCGTAGATTACGTTACTAAATCTCCGACTCAGTAGTTACGCTAGTGTAGTGTGTATATAAGACCGTATGACCAGGTAGCCGGCAATCCTTTCTATTGATTTTAACACAGTATAATTCCTACTATTTTGGGCTCGTATGAATAACCTCTATTTTTACCATGCCACGCCCTCCAATTAACCTAGAGTCTTATAGGGAGGAGATTACTCTCTTATATTCTCAGAATACACCTATTGCCAATATCCAGACCATCATACAAAGCTACGGCGTCAATATCTCACTTCGCACGCTCAAAACTCGCCTTTCTTCCTGGGGCCTGCGACGCGAACTACCCAGCCAAAATGAAGCTTTGCACGCTCGCCTTCTCACGCTAGTTACCGAAGCCGGTTTATCTCCTAAAGAGACACTCGAAGTGCTACAAAAGGAGGGATTCCAGGTCTCTGAACCTACACTTAAAAGGTTACGAAAACAGCTTGGAATTCAGCTTCGTACAGACTGCCCGCTTCAGAGGCAGCAGCAGCGGCTCGAAATCGAGGTTATCTTGACCGAGGAGCTTGGGATTGGCGATGCCGAAGGTTATGGGCGTCGCGTTCTCTATCACCACCTTCGCCGTCATGGTTTTCTTTTCCCACAGCACCGAGTATTCGAAGTCTACCGCTCCCTTCGCCCTGACTCACTCCTCCGCCGATCATACGATCTCCAGCGCTCCCGCGGCGAGTATTGGTGCCCTGGGCCGAATTTCGTGTGGCATGTGGATGGTTATATGAAGCTAGCGCAGTTCGGAGTTGAGGTTTATGCCGCTATTGATGGGTACTCTCGGTATATTCTCTGGATATACGTGGGAATTAGTTCTCGTACAGCAGTGAGCGTTCTCTCTCAGTTTCTTGACACCATCGCCGACCTCTGCTACCAACCGGAGATTATTCGGTCTGACCTCGGCTCGGAGACATCCCTAATTGGGGATGCACAATGGGCGCTGCGGCAGGTTTTCGATCCAGAGGCTGCCCATGGAGACTGTTTCTGGCTAGGACGAAGCACAGATAACCAGAGAATAGAGGCTTGGTGGGCGCAGTTATCTAAGTCATGTACTTTCCTCTATTACCAGTATTTCCGGGAGCTCCAGGAACAAGGTAAGTTATCCTGCCCACTATCCGCTGCTGCCGCTAATCCTCTATAGGTCTCTTCTCCGGCTCTATCCCTGAGCAAGTCGCCCTTCTTGCGGTCTATATGCCTACACTCCGCCGGGTTATTAGCGAGTACGCTAAGACCTGGAATATTCATAATATCCGAAAGCAAAAGTCACGGCCGAACGCTGTTACCGGGAAGCCCTTTATGAATTATTTTAATGCATCTAAGCCCGATTACCAGCGTGCAGTTGATCCTATGCTGCTTCGCGAGCTACAGGAGGACGTCCGGGACTGGGATAAAGATGAATATTTACCCCTTGACGTCCTGGCTTGGTGCCACCAGCAGCTTCAGGAGATTGGAGCCGAGCTTTA